TCTTGCTAGAGGGGTCCTGTACGTAGCTGCTTTGCCACTGTGTGTACCGAGTGCTGGACTAGATGGACCTTGGTTCTGATCCAGCATGGCTTTTCTTATGTTCTTACAATGGTTAAAATGTTGGATTAGGATTTAAAACCAGGATTAGTTGGACCTTTGGTCTAATCCAGCATGACTTTTCTTATTTACTTAAAGTAATAAGTAAGATCATTTAGATCATTTCCTAATGGAGAATGTGAAGAAGCATAACCGGTTTTATGGGATTTAATTGATGTTTTTTACCTGTACTATTGTTTTTGCTTTATTTTTTGTTAATTGCCTTGAGTACCATTTCACAGAAAAATAAACAATTTAAATAAAATTGATAATCATTGGCTTATCTTTTTATGTAACTATATATTGCTTTGTTTTGTGTTCCTCATATCATATCCTGTATTTTCCATACAGTGGTAGTTCCCGACGGAGAGATTACTATGACAGAGGTTATGACAGAGGCTATGATGACCGTGACTATTATAGCAGATCATACAGGTTAGCCTACTTTTTGCTGATTACTGCTTGATGAGATTGCATAAACCCTTTAAAATGTGTTATATACTGTAATTGTGCTTCCATCTCTATTTTGGTTCTTGTCACGCTGGCTATGATTGTCATCCATGTCCTGTAGGGTTGAAAGGACTGGCACTTGCTTCACTGTACTTGACAACTGGAAACAAATGATTGGATTGATACCAAAGTATTCTTTACATTCTCTGAAATTCTGGAATTACTGTAAGCCAACAGATAGACCCGTGGAAATTGGATTACCATTTACAAGGATTTTGGGAAAACTAGCTTCTTGGCACGAAAGATGTAGGAAATAAGAATAGAGGAGTAATCTAAAGCCAAGTTCAGTTACATATGTGACAGTTTGCTTGGAAATACTGTGCTAGATAAAAGGTGTGGTAGAAACTTGAAAATCTTCAGACCTCTGATTAAAAAAAGCTTATGCCACAGCCAGTTATTTGCATTAAACATCTCAGCCTGTCACACAAAGCAAGTATCCTGTTTTCTAAAAGACACTTGATCAAAAGTGTATCATCCATGAAAGTGCTGGGAAAAGTAAGATTCTATCAACAGGATTCTAAAGTAGCATTTTCAGTCAAAATAAGCTGTAACACATCAGATGTGGCTTTTCATTTGATGTGCAAAATGTCCCAGTAGGTCTCAGTGCCAGTACCTGTTCAGTTCTATGACTTCTAATGTCCTGTCTGCCATCAGTTAGTATTGCCTTTTCAGAAGTTTAAATTGGCTAAATGAAACAGTTCTTGCCTAAACTAATAAGCTCAAAAACTTGAAAAGCCTGAATATCAGCTAGTATAAGACTAGACCATACAGTTTTCCTTCCTGTAACTTAAATGCACTGTGTGTTCCAGAAGGAATAACTTGTGCAAGCTCCATCTGCCTAGTATTCACAGATCTTTTCCCCTTCCTGTAGTAGCAACTTTCACCATGTTCCTGGTCTTTCCTGGAGATGTCTGACTGTTGGGTCACAGTGGACTGTGATACAAATGCAGGACTTTGGATGTAGTTGTATGTGTACACGCATGCAACTTGATATATATACATCAAATGGTGATCAGGATTACCTGCTGACCTTTACTATTTGAAAGAATTACATCTAGCACATAGTTCCAGAACAGGAACTTTACTGTGACCATTTTACTCTTTCTTCCTGGGTTCCCCATTAAATTTTGCTCTATCCAAAATTTCACTTTGGATATCACTTTGGTGTTATTCATACCACCTGAAATGTTCCACAGACTGAACTCACTTGCAAGCCTGAAGCTTTATTTAGGTTTAGATACAAACTTTATTGTCTGTATCTTCCCTAGAATTGCATGTATTTTGTGCACTTACTCCTCTTTTACAAATTTGTTTCACTAATTCTGTGAAATCAGTCTGTTTTATGAGTGATAAGAAATGATGCCTAAGCAGCAGAAGCAGAAATGAGAAGTGGCCATTGGTGATGGGACACATTTGCCCAAAGCAGCTCCCCATACCTCAGAAATACTAAAGGACAGAAATCCAGCATCACTCTAACAGCTATCCTGGCACTTGTAGCATATGAGGCTTCTTGACATATTTGCTGAGTACAAGTATTCCTAGTCTCTGCTTGGAATTGCCTCTCATAAGGCCTGCCTTGCTGCAGATGAGTGAATAATCAATAGTCGAGACAGTGTGCTTTTAAAGCTTTTAAAATGTGTAATCTCAAGCGAGTATGAAAATACTGCATCAATGTCTGCTGTAGGTATTTTAACTATTAACGGTGCTATTAAAATAGTAGATTAGGCCCAAACAGGTTTGTATGAAGACAGGAAGATGCCAGTATCATTCAGCTTATGTTGAAGATAATTATTTCTTGTGTCTGAATTGTTTCTTGTACTGGTAATCATTCTTTATATGACTCATTTCTAGTTTGAAAAGTTAATAAATAAAAGTGTGAAAAGGTCACACCTTCTTATGTTTTTACAGAGGAGGTGGTGGTGGTGGAGGCGGTGGCGGAGGAGGAGGATGGCGAGCTGCCCAAGACAGGGATCAAATGTACAGGTACATTATGAGAGGATATTGTACCTTTTTTAGAAGTATGGAGAAATAATGAAATAACCTATTTGAATGGTGGTATCTTCCAGAAGCATTTAAATTAATCTTGATTTTCATTTGGAAAATTCACTGTTGGTGCCAGAGTTATCAACACTAACAAAATATAGTTAACCAGAAGGCTTCAGTGAGAAGGCATGCTCTGAAACATTGGAGTCTAGAAATCAATCCCAAATTTTGGTTAAAGAAAATAATTCCTCCTACAATTAGTGTGATGTTCTTAAAAATATTTTCTGGTATTGGTATAAAGAATTTGTGGCAAACTCCTGCCATACATTATATTTTCTGATTGAAATTAACTTCAGAATTTATAATTACTTTAACCAGATAATTCACATCACTAGAAAAACAACTCTGCTATTGACCTTTATTGGGGGTGGTGGGGGGGATTGGCAAAAGTATTTTAATTAATATTAGTTGGAGCAGACTTAGTGTTTCCAAATGCATTCATCTGTTCTGATTGATATCCTAGCTAAGGATGATACATGTAAAATAAATTCACTCAACTGCAATTGTGGTAGCTTCAGTGCAAGTAAATTTCTTACCTGTAACAATAGATTTCTTATGACTTGCACTCGCCTTAGAATGAAGCCTCCTGGCTATTCAGGAGGCAGTACTCTGCCAATTGCTTCCAGCTGGGTGGGAGGAGTGGTGGAGGCAATGTTGCTTCTCAAGTTTCCATTTTCTTCTTCTCTTATAGGTAGGGCTTTGAGTCTGCTGAGAGGAGGTGTGTTAGTGGGAGAGGGGTTATAGGAGCCGTATCTTAGACTTTCCACTAAAACATCCCTTCTGACATGTGGGTTTCATTGGGTAACTCTTGTAGAGTAAAGCAAATAGGTATAGAAATACCCATTACCTGATGTTTCATTGTACCATTTTTGTTATAATTCCCTCTGTAGGAGAAGATCACCATCTCCATATTACAGCCGAGGTGGCTACAGATCTCGCTCTCGGTCTCGATCATATTCACCTCGTAAGTAATGATTTCAGTATATTCTCTGTAGTCTGAAATTCAATACAACTTAAGGGAAGGGGCTACTTAAAATAGAATTATAATTAGTCCTAACAGACTAGTGTAGTTACTGTGAACCCTAGCAGCTGTTTGACATACTTGTATGACATGTTTGAGAGCCAGGGTGGTGTAGTGGTTAAGAGCATGGGACTGGGACTCAGACGATCTGGGTTCTAGTCCCCACTCAGCCATGGAGCCAACTGGGTGATCTTGGGCCAGTCACAGACTCTCAGTCCAACCTACACACAGCGTTGTTGTTGTGGGAATAAGATTGAGAGCGGGAGGAGGAGATAGATGTAAGCTGCTTTGAGAAAAATGTAGGATATAAAGCTAATATATATTTTAGCAAACTGAAACCACTTTGTACGCAATGTACTCTTCAACAGTTACTAGGTCTGTTCTGTGGTGTTTGATCTGTTTAGCCTATAAAGTTAATTCCAACCTATTAAGCTATCAGGGATCTAATTTACTCCTATTGAAATAAATGGGAAAGTGAAGCTACCAAACTGCTGTCAGATTCTAAAAATAGTTTTTAATAGTTAATGCAAAAATATATTGCAAGGAGTTTTGTGGGGAAAAGCATGCATTTTCTCTATAAAATCATCACTGGTATTGCAGAAGCATTGATGGACCCGAGAGGCATGTCTTGTTTTGTTCCAGGCTGGCTTTACTCTCACAGTGCAAAAAGTTGCTTCTTACTTGTAGTGTTCTTGTTGAAGTAAAACCCTGTTGGGCAGCTGAGGTTTCATTGGATGCCTTCTACTATTTACTGTGACTCAAGGAGTTCACCAGTACATTTTTGGCTTGTCCCCCCCCCACCCCCTTTTGGGCTTCCTGATGATTCAGTGAGGGCTTAAGTTAATATTGTGAGGTCCAGTGTTAACCCCAATAATTTTTGTAGTAGGCTGTGTTATTGGGATCTGATGCAAACAAGGCATTGTGCTAAACAGGTTATTTTGGAATAATTATTTCCAGCTAGGACTCTCAAGTGTCCATTAGATGCCAATAGAACCCCAAAGTTGTATACGAGGGCTGTCATTCTAAATATAAGTAATGCCACTTTCACTTTTTATGCACATATGTTTGCACTCTGAAGTCTTTTGAGTAAGATTTACTTCCACTGGCAGAACGGTGGAGGTAACTCTTGCCTTGTTTGCCTTGAAATAATTGCCACACACAATTCTGATGATTGGAGGATCCTCCAGAAGGGAGAGGCAAGTACCCAAGGACTGAACAAAAGTTACCTTCCCCATTTCTGCCAGCAGAATTTTTTGCTCAGGGAAAGACACTTCAGCAAATGGAAGGCACATTTCCTGCTTGCAGAAGAGCACATCTGGGTTTAAATGTGCATGAGGGGAAATATCACTCACAACTGGTATTTAACTAGTAATTAGAATTCTGAATAGCCCAGTTTGTGTATTGAGGTTGTTCCTGCCACACCCATGTGTACTGCTTTCTGAAAGAACAGTGCCTGTTAACCCTTCATGAAGGTACAGAATTGCATAGGTTGAGGATTATGATGACACCTCTAATTTCTTTTTATTTACAGGTCGCTACTGAAGTGTGAAACCGAGGAATTTGTAGCTACAAGACAACAGTGCATTAAGATTGCAAACTTGTGGACAATACTTTGTTACTTTTGTTCAAGTCTAATAGTGCCTAGTGATTAGGTGACTTTTACACCTTTTGAGACTACTTTGGTGAAGTTTTAAAATGCTGTTTCATTCTGCATATTTGTGTAGTTAATGTTTTGTTCAGAGTTGTGTTTTGAAAGGAGTATGTCTTCCGCATGTGTTTTAGTCTGAACTTTGCAGAAGGATTTCTATTGTCTGTAATTCTTTTCATTTTTTCCAGTTTCCAGGGTATTTTGAAGATCAAAACCTGTGTAATATGCTTTGAAATTGTGGCATAATAAAGTTTTTTTTACTTACTTTGAAGCCCATATCTTCTACTTAGCCAAAGTGTGAGTCAGAGAAAAAACAAAACTACAAATTTAGAGCCCTATCCAAAATCTGAGCTGATTCCCTCTCTCCAATTCAGTTTGCAATTATAGTCTGAATAAAAATGGTCCATGTTGTAACATGTTATTTCTTTAAGTAGATAAAACTTTAGTGCTAGATATAAGCTACCTGAAACGTGTAGATTATGCATTTAAGTTACAAAGATGTGGCAGTTTGGAAATTCAGTTGTCAAACAGATCAGAAAATAGTCTGTTGCTGTTTGGGAAGTAATTTCCATCCTAGGGCCATGATGTTTAAGTAGTCCCTCCATAGTGAAGCAGACTAAAGTTCTATTTGTTTTTTTGGGACAGTAGGTTGAAAATCAACTTAAGGGGTATTTTTTGAATGATACCCACATAACTTATTTGCTAGTCTCAGATCAGTAGATCTGTCACTAGGATCCTGTCTTTTGTAAGCACATGTACTGAAGAATTAGTAGTTCAGTTTCAATCAGCAGCATAGTTTCAGCTCCCCCGCCCCAAAAAAATCTTCTGAAGATGATTTTTGGAATCTAGGTAGCTACTTTAAGCTACATTTGGGAGTCTGGGCATGCTGAGTAGGAAAACTTACCAATTACTAAGATAGGATGGGTGTGTGTTCGTAAGAACTTAAAAGAGCCATACAAATTTTAACACTGAGAATATTAGATGCATTGACAACTCAGAGGTATGTGCAAATAATTTGTCTGCTAATCCAGACCCTCTTGATTTGCAGAAAGTCCCTATGCAAGTCTAGCCCTTAAAAGTACTTCAGTGTATGTCTTAATACAAGACAACTGTACTTCCTTATCAGTTAAGATAATGTATGTGGGAGTGGCATAATTATTAAATCCATCATCTCAGTAAGCAATAAGTTCTGTATATTAAATTTGGTAAAAACTTGTGTTTACAGTATAAGAATGAGATTCTGAGCTGAAAGATCTGTAAAAATGGCAGGAGTACTTTGTATTTGTATTAAAAGCAAAATAACATTCAAAAGCTGGAATAGTATCTTTGAGTATTAAAGCATACTGCATAGGGGGTAGGGGTTGCAGGTATGACATCAGCATATGTTAGCATAATTTCAGTTCCCTGGGTGTGTGTGGATTACTAGCAACACTACCAATAGGGGCTTCAGATGGTTATTGCTTATTTTGAGTATCTAGAATTCTTCTCCAGTGTCTCAAATTTGTATTAAATACTGCCTTGTTTGTTTGCTTGCAAACAAATTCAACATCATCTACCTTCCACAGAGAAGAAAAGATAATTGCCCCATTAAAGTTTAGTTAAGTATCCAAGATATGGACTATCTTTCAAGAGAAGCTTGAGACAAAAAAAGTTGTTTTAATACCTTACTAAATTTATTGTGGCAAAGCTTTTTGTGGACTAGGATCCACTCTTCTCACAACAGATAATTAGCACAACAAAAATTTGCATTAGCACTAGAAAAGAATGTGTTAGTACTAATTATTGTGGTTATCTAGTATACTTTTGAGCTTACCAGAATTTCATTGTACCTCTTTTCATGGCCTTTTACTCCCACTTTAATTTTTCCTTCTCTTTGTGTATACCTGAGATAATGTATAACTGAGAATATACTTCATACATGTGAAGAATTGGGCTTTAATCCACAAAAGTTTTATACAACAAGACAGTTGGTGGATTTTTGCTGTAATAAAATGCCAAGTCTAGAACTCTTCTTTCTGTCACTGAACAAAGAGGAGGAAAGTCAGACAAATGAAACTACAGAATGCAGTCGGTTAAAAGCTTATACAGAAATTAAGAATTATTCACATAAAATAAATGGTAGGAAGGAGTGCCAAGCTTTGTCAATTTTAAAAAATAATGCAGGTAGATAGCTATTGCTGTGGAAGTCCAGTATGAAACTCACACAAGCATATCCCGTAGTTCACTCATATATTGTAAATTTTCCATATGTTGGAAGTGTGTAATTTGTTTCAGTGTGTGTACACACAGCCCACTTTGGGGTTTCGGGGAGTGGAAGGCTAAAGCTCCTGTAATGCCATTTGGGATTCCTGCTTCATATACCAACCATTAGTACCTGGAAAATGGATGCTAGTTGTATTCAGATTTGCTCCTAATAATTCTATTAAGGTTTTCCTCCCAGTGCTGAAACAGCTGCCTCTCCTGCAACCCACCTCATTAGCTGAACAGGAAAAGGAGGTGAGGTGCTTTCAATCCAGCAGGTTGCACAGAGAGTACATGAGCTGTCTATGCTTACTCTAGAGCTTTATGCTTTGCTTTAGCAGAGATCATTGTGACCAACACCTTACAAAAAATACGAGTGGAGCCCCTGGAGCCAGTTGAATTGATCACACACCTAGCAAACTCCACAATCTGTACTTTCTATATATCCTGTAAAGATGTTTGAGTCTCTCTACAACTATACAGGCTTTGCAGCAGAACATGAAGACGACACATTGCCCACATTTTCACCAGCTCAGATGCAATCCAAGTTACCCTTACGGAATGATGCAATGCTATGGTTGACAGCCTCCTTCCCAACAAAGGGTAAGGCAATGCTGTAAGGTCTTCCTCCATCTTACTGTCTTCTGTAGCAACATGTCTAAAACTTTATACAGTGTCTACTTTACAAACAGTACAACCAAGAAAATACAATCACTGGCTGTGTCCATGTGGCCCTGCTCCCAAAGGTGTTGTGATACTTGTGAGAAACTTGTGACTTATAAAGCACCTAAAATTTGCTAGGAGCTGACCCAGGTTTGTAAACAACATAGTAACAACTCTTGAGGTCACAAACTTAAATTTAAAATGCGTGTGTGCACATTCACACATGGAAGCCTGGAGGAAAGAGGGAAAACAAGCAATTTCAGACTAATTAAAGTTGCAGAGCTCTCATTCAGATGCAGAATTTCAGAAACCCAGTTCTTTCTATATGCTCTTATCACTTGCAATGAATCACTTACAAACTACTTGCTTTCATGGTGGTTTCCTTCCCATTTCTTTCAG